AGCAGAGGAATCCTTAAAATGGAGGCATGTCCCTTTCTAGTTGCTGTCGTGTCCCAACCCCACGTGTCTGACCTTCTGCTTTGCATGCAGTGTGCTGTGTGTTCATAGTGCTGACTAACAGCACTTGGTGAGGGAGGGCAGTGGCTGCTGCCAGCAGAATTCCCAGGTTAGAGGATGGCCTATTTGGGGGGCACGGTGAAGGCAGAGCTGTTCAGCTGTCCTGCAGCATCCCTGAGGCTGGGATGCTCGGGCTGTGTGATGGGTGGCACAGGAGGATCCCATGCGGGTGTCATGTTGGAGGCTGTAGCTGCACCAGGAGGTGAAGGAGTTGGGCTGAGCACAGCAGAAGCAGGCAGTGCTTTGAAACAGGGGAAGAAATGAATTATTTGAGGTGTAGGAGAATGGGAAGGATGTGATGGCACGAAAAAGGATGAACTGAATGGGTGCATGCTGTGGATTTCTGTTTCTCTGTGATCAGTGAAGTGGAACAGGAGCGTTTTGTGTCTTTCACATCCTCCAGTTGCTTCACTTGGCAGCAGTATGGAGGGAGGCTCTGTGAGCTGGGCGCTGGGTGCCCAGAAAACATTCTGCGAGGTTGAAATGTAGTTATGAGAATGCAATCCACAAAGCCTTTAACAATTTCCTTTTGCACCATGCCTCCAGCACTCGATACCTGAAGTTGAAGCTCAGTGTGTGTTTGCTCTGTTTGCTCTGCCTGGAACACAGGTGTGGAGGCTGCTTTGTTTGTACTGTAGAACCTGGCTGAAACCACACAGTGCTCCTCTTGCAAAGAGGCTCTTGAAATACTTGGATTTGCCCCAGCTTTGCTTACTGAATGATAGAGGTGAAGCATACAGCTATTTTCCCATGGTGAATGTAGTCAGTGGTGCCACTTCCTCACTCCATGAGGTCATTCCAGGTGATTCCATGGCTCTGCAATGCCAGAAGCAAGCCAGCAGCTGGGCATCCTGGCAGTGACCACAGCTTCCCACCAAACTCCACAAGGACCAAAGGCCTCATTAGCTCATGTGAAACAAGATGGCACAGCACATGAGATGTCCCTGGTGCCACCAATGCCTGTCATTGCTCATTCAAGAGGCTTACGAGTGCATTGCCTTACAGCAAAGTACCTGTGAGGATAATACTGGCACCCGAGGGCACCCTGAGGCTGTTTGCTATTTGTGGTTGGCAGACCATGCCTATGGCTCTCACTACAATAAAAGCTTTTCTGGAAATGGTTCTTCTCAGTTTCTGAAGATGGATGCATTACTTTGCATTATGGACATGAGCAGGATGGGAGAACCTTCTGGGAGCTGATGGCTGTTAATGCTGCAGGGAAGAGCAAAAATTAGTGTAGGTAGAAGGAATATTTCATTACCCTGTACCACAGATCATTTAAGATAAAGGCATTCCTGTCTGTTTTAGGATCTGCACAGAACTGAAGACATTTGGTATTTAAAGAAAACATTTCCATGAATGTGTCAGAGCCATCACGCTTCACCTATTGAGTCACATTCACAAGTTCAGGGCATCATTCAGCTTGCTGAATTTGTCACCTGTGCCCTTGCCACCTACGTTCCCACCCCGAGCTTCAGGTGGGTTCTTCAAAAGGTGAATGAAAGTGAATAATGCTGACTTTGCTGTGTGAGGAGTTCTGGGCTTTTGGGTTTGGAGGGGAGCACAGGTGTGTGTGTGGGAAGGAACAGGTCTGCTGACAAAAGAAGCTGTTTGATCTTTAATGCTTGCTTCCTGCTGCTATGAAAAACATTCATGAAAGTCTTTTTTCCATGACTAAGTCTGTAAGTTGCAATACTGAGGACACATTCGGTGCCTCACCACAAGAATCAGAGAATGGCCTGGGCTGCAAAGGCCCACAATGTCATCCAGTTCCAACCCCCTGCTGTGTGCAGGTCGCCAACCAGCAGCCCAGGCTGCCCAGAGCCACATCCAGCCTGGCTTTGAATGCCTGCAGGGAAGATGCTGCACGTTCTCACCTGCCTGAAAAACTGCTTCCAATTCTGGAGTTGGTACTGCCTGGCTGTATTGCTGTTTCAACATATCCCTGCGGGGAATTTTACTTAAATACTTAATTATGCTGCTTCCTGCAAAGCAATTGCATCTCATTACGTTCAAGAAGTCACAGCAGTGAGAAGAGGCGTGAGTGATGCACCACCAGCCAAGCAGGCAGGATGGGACGGGGACGCAGCCTGCCTGCAGTGGGAACAGCAGCAAAGCAGGCTGGGGAGCAGCTGGGTATGTGGTACATCACATTAATCATCCTGAAATCCTCCTCCTCTTTGGCCAGCCGCTGTCCCACTCCTGGGCAGGGCAGGGAACCCATTGAAGGGATTTGACAGCTTATAAACGTGGGCAGGAATTAAAACGCTCATCAGCTGCAATGGTGTGGTTGGAAGGTGAGTGGTGTGAGGTGTGATTGAGCAGATGGACAGTAAGAGAAAGGGAGGGAAAGCCACCTCACAAAGGGAAGCATAAGGTGTGTGTTATGTTTTCCTTAACAGCATCAATCGTCTTTAAAGCAGTACTCCATGGAAGTGCCATTTTAATGCTCTGCATCTTGTCTTTTTGTTCAAATGATTAGAAAAACAGGAAGTCTCAGTGGGGTTTTTCCTCATGAGCTGTGCATGTATGAAAGGAACAGGTATCTTCAGTTAGCTTTGCTTGGGGTGCTCTGGGTGTGAGGAGCACTTCCCACAACCCAGAGGATGAAGGGCTCTGAGCTGAGCTCCATGGCAGCTGTGGGCAGCATTTGGCTGCTGAAGATGGTTAACCTTTGCTCCTGGAGAGGGAGGTTGAGGACTTGTCTTTTCCTTGATGTCTTCAAGTTAAAAGCAAATGCTTCCCTGGGAGCTGCTGTTACCCTAGTGGGAGTTATTGTTCTAACACAAAATCACGGGTCTCTGTAAAGGCAGTGGTGCACAGGTGGAATTCTTTGGCCTACAGCTTGACAGTCAAAGCCAGCACAAATAGCACGAGCTCTTGTACCCACCAGAGCCTGAAAGCAGCTCTAAAAGCAGAGGTTTCCCAGGGCTGAGGGTGAGCAAGGTGGGCAATGAGTGGACGCTGCTCAGGTGCTCCATCTGCACAACACGAGGCAGAAAATCTGATTCTGCCATTATTTTCTGCTGAACCAAGAGGTGGCAGCAAGATTCACTGCTAAGACATGTGCTGTGCTACTGTCGTGTAACATTCTGTAGCAGTAATGAGGGTTCGATCCTAATTTTACTTAGTCTGAACTGGAGCCAGATGAGTTTTTCATCTCTTCAGAGGTTCGTGGTTGTAGCATTCAAATAAATGACTGACTGCATTTTTTAAAGAGAAGCTTTATAAGTTTTTTTACTCTATCGTGTATTTTAATATTCAGATTTGGATAAATATTTTCTCCTATCAGTTTTGAGGGTTTTTTTTTAACCATTTAATTCTGTGCTTCCTCATCCAGATGGTAGAGATGGCAGAGCTGCCATTATTTATTATTCTCAACACTTCCAATTAGAATATTCTGATTTCCACTTGTAAATTGGTCAAGCTTAGCTATTCAAGCTGAATTTTTCCCTGCTCACTCCCAAAAGACTTTATTTGGTGAGAAAACTTTGTTATTGTAAAGGTCTGCTTTGGACCATAGCAAATGCTGGGTTCTAAATATTGGCCTTTCTCCATTTATTCTTGCCTTTTGTTTCCTGTCTCTTGGCAGTTTTACATATGAGACATAACTTTCCTCTCAGCAATCTATTTAGGGATTTCCTTTCTTATTTTTAAAGTAGTCTCTGTAAGGATCTTGTCAAAGGCTGGAATCAACTAATCATCCTGGTCTTTTTTTAAGCATGCCTGTAGGGTTTGAGAGATTAGGGATGATGCGTATCTAACAACTGCACAAAAGAGGCAGGGGGGAAAAGAGTAGTGTTGGTATAAATGTTCAGAGCATCAGAAATGATGTGATCTGATCAAGCTTCTGAATGATGCCCAGGCTTTCAGACTGGCATCTTAACACCATGAGCATTGGTGCTTTGCTCCCAACTGGGGATGTTAAAGGCTTACAGATGAATTCAGACATCTTTGCCTGGAAGCTGAGGAGCAGATTCTATTCTATTTTAGCAGCTCCTCGTGCATCAGCCCTCCTTACACACAGGGCTTCTCATACCTGCGCCTTGCGTTGCCGCAAGGATTTCTATAGTTACAATTGTTCTCTTTTGTAAGGAAGAGTCAGAGGTATTTTTAGTGCTCCCGACAGGTTTGTACAAGGACCCACACAGCCCTGCTGCCATGCAGAGCACTTGGGGGTGCCACAGGAATTAGAATCATGGAACCAATAAGGTTAGAAAAGCCTTCTAGGATCCCCAACCCCAACCCATCCCCCCATGCCCACTGCCCACAACCCTCAGTGCCACCTCCCCACAGCTCTGGGACACCCCAGGGATGGTGACCCCCCATTCCACAGGCAGCTGTGCCAATAGCTGAGCTTCTCCTGGAGCAACCTGAGGCCGTTCCCTCTCATCCTATCACTGGTTAAGGGAGAGCTGCAGCTGTTTGTCACCCTGCGTGCAGATGACTCCACATCCTGGGTTCTGTCTGCCTTTCTCTGCTGGTGCTGAGCACATCTGGGCTCAGGTCACACCAAAGTGGGATCTCTGTGCAGATAGACCCTGCCCAGGGGTGTGGGATGGGAGATAGAGGGGCTGTGTGGCTGCTCTGCACCTCTCAAAATGAAGCATGATAGGAATTTGCTTTAGGATTCTTGTACTGGCTTATGTGTTCCAGGAGAGTCCCATGATGATGATAAGCAGCCATCATTTTCAAGGTGCTGGAACAGCTGCCCAGAGAGGCTGTGGATGCCCCGTCCATCCCTGGAGGTGTTCAAGGCCAGGTTGGATGGGGCCCTGGGCAGCCTGGTCTAGCATTAAATGAGCAGGTTGGTGGCCCTGCATGTGGCATGGGGGTTGGAGCTTCATGATCCTTGAGGTCCCTTCCAACCCTGGCCTGTGATCCTGTGATTCTGTGACTTACAGACTTTATGTTCTGCTTTAGGATGGCAAGAGCATCCCAAATTGATCATTTCATCGGGCAGATGAGCAAAGGTCTCTCAGACACTGTAGAGGCAAGAGCTCCTCTTACTTAAATAGGCAGTAAAATCCTTGAATCTTTGCTTTTCTCCATTGGTTCTCAGTGGTCCTGACTAAATATTTAAAGACACGGGGTTGGATAAGTGGCTGCCCGTTCATTGATCTGTTGTTTCTGCATCAGCTTCTCCGTTTGGATGGGTGTCATGGAAATCTGCTGAAATGAACTGAAGCTTCCCACAGTCCCTTGCCATGAAATTCAAATTGCTGTCTTGCAGTATGGTAATGGGATTATAAAGCATAAGGAGATGCAGTAAAATCAACAGGCTAATCGAGCCATCCTTGTCAAATCCCAAGGAGAAGCAGCAAAGTACAGATAAGGTTCTGTCAGTTTGCCTGGCTTTATTTACTTATTTACCCCTTTAACCCCCAGCATGAACAACAGAAGTGCTCCTTAGCTCTAGGACTAAAAGCTCTTTGGCTGACTCCTCTTTGTGCACCCTTTGTTCTAGTCTGAGCCACCCTAAATGCAAAATGGGAACTGTAGGTTTACTAATTTCTCTAAATGGGAAATTCTCCAGTGAAGTGATGTTTTTTTTGTGGTTTGTTTTTAGCTGGCAAGGCCGTGTTTGTCCATCTCCAACTGCTCAGCCTGGGCCTTGTTTTCTCTAAAGAGTTATTACAGCATGTTTGTCATTTATGAGAAATACATTTCAGTCACATCTGTGTGAACGTTTACTGAGAGAACTGCAAATATTTGAATGCCCCTGGGAAATCTGCAGTGTCTGGGAGCTTTCTGGGCTGCACATCTGTTGGAGGACGTGAACACCACGTTGTCCTGCAGCCTCCCATAGCAGTGGGGCATTCCTTCTCCAGCCCAGGTGGGAACTGCTGCTCTTTTGGCTGTGTTTCAGAGCTGATGAGGGTTTCCAGAATGCAGGGGTAACTTCAGCTACTTGGATAAAGTAGCACCAGCTTCCCATAAGGTTACTAATTGGCTTTTATTGATAGTTTCCCATAATTTCATCAGTTGCAAGCTAAAGTGGTATTCAGCAATACTCAGCATCAGCACTTGCAGCAGTTAAGGAGATTGATTAACATTCATAAGAAGAGAAGAGGAGCTTAAAATAAGAAACAAAACAAATGCTTAATCCTCTGGCCAGGATGCTTTTTGGCATGGAAGATATAAATGTGCATCTCCTCTGAAAACAATCCCTGTGTCTTCCTTCCAGCAAAGAACCACAGCACAACCCCAGCCATAAGGCACTGGCATTTCGGGTTGGAGCTGTGAAGGTTTTTCGACCCGGTGGATGCTGCTTGCTGCTGATAGATGGGTGTTGCTGGAGGGAGATTGCTGTGCCTGCTCAGAGCCCACAGATCCACAAGTTCTTCAGTGCAATCCTCAGTTCTTGAGGGGGTGACCCACGTTAATGCAGCGTGATGCCATCGGCTGCGTCTTGCAATATTTTGCAGGTCATTTCAGATTTGCCACGCTCATTTCTGCACACCATTGGAAGCCATAAGTAGAGTAGGGCTGTCTTGTGCTATGAAAACCTGAGAGGACATCCCTACCTGCCTCAGGAGGTGGAGATAATCCACTCTTCTTTATCAGACACGCTCTGGAAGGCCGCAGCTGTGGCTTGGAATTTCCCACAGCTCAGCTCTTTGCAGAGCCTGCAGCAAAGAGAAACCTCACAACTGGTTAAATATAGAGGATACCTACAAATGTTGTCAGGTTACCTCTCTCATTGCAGGTGCTTTAAACTGAGAGAAAGTGACAATGAAGTCTTCACACTCTCTTTAATTATAGCAGCCTTTATGTAACAGTGTCAGATAAATGTGTTTCAGTCTAGGTGGCACCTCACTTCCTCCAGAAGAACTGTCAAATTAGACCCTACCAGGCTAATTTATTTGCTTGAAATTCAAGGAATTAAAGCATACCATCCAGGTCTCCCTTTGAATTAAACCTTTAAATGCACCAAGACATTCCCCAAACACCACGGTGCTTCTTTCTTTTGGAGCATAAAGACATACTTATTTACCTGGTATCTCCAGAACTGTGAAACATCACAGATGTCATCCAGTTCTCACTGCTCATGAGATGTGAGAAAAGGAGGTTAGTGGGATCTCAAGAGGTTGTCTTGTTCATACTTCCACCCCAAGGCAGAAGCTGTTGTTGCTACAACCATGTGCTTATCTAATCTGTATTATAAAACAGAAAAGGAGAGAGGAAAAAAATAGATTGCTGTAGAGGGAGAAGGATGAGGAATTGGGCTATGCTAAGTAGCACAGAAGAGTGAGGAGCTGGCCTCCTTCCAAGCGATGGAAGCAAGTCCTGCCTTAGGTGGATTGCTGGAGAATGCTGACGGTCCTCTTCCCTTATATTAATGAAATATATACTTGGGCTGTTCTGCTGATTTCAGCAAGAACAACATATGGGGAGAGGAATTTTTTTCATCAGGACCCAAAATTCAGGCACTGAAAGGTCAAACCCAATGCTTTGGATGAAATATACTGATAAATACTGGAGGTTTTGTGTGCTGAAAGATGCTAGAAGGAGCAGGTTCATTCTCTGCACTTAGTATCTCATTAGTCCAAAGTAAAGCTACGAGGCCAGCATTGCAACCTTACTGTTGGAGTAGAAGAGCCTTTAGAGAGCTTCAGTCCATCCTCATGGAGGCAACGTTTGGGTTTGTTGCACTGGGATGAATCTTCTTGTCCATCCTCAGCTCTGCAGCAGGGTGAGGGCACATCCTGCAGCGCCAGGCACGCTGCCTTAGCAGCACAGCCCACAGTGAAAGTGAAACCTGTGAAAGTACAAAAGGGAGAGAAGTTGCTGACTTACATTCTGGCTCTGCATGCTGCAGTGCTGAGGTACTTACTTGGTTTTGTAATCCAGTTACTGTGCATTTATTCAAATAGCAAAGAGTTCATTGCCACATCTCCTCAAAGTGCAAGTGCTGCCATTGCGTTGTGTAATCATTTGATTGGGCTTTGCACACTATTTCCAGTGGTTCTGTACAAAATTCATGCTCTGGGAAAAGCACTGTTCCCACCTTTGGATAGCTTAGAAATGACCGGGTAATTAATATTTGAGGCTATATGGATGTGTGTCGCACAAAGGATTTGTCCTTTTTTCTTTGTGCTTCCAGAAGGGTCAGTTCCAATCAGAAAAAAAGGGAATGTGGATAATCCCAAATGGCATCAGAGGACTTGGGGGGAACCCCAGCTTTGAGAGGTTTGTGGGATGCTCGGCTATTCTGACTTCCCTTCCTCTCCATTGCCTGCTAATGTTGGTTCAAAGTACCGGGAGCAGCTTAGCACTGAGCCTGTCCTACCTGCATGCTTCCAATGAAGCCTGTAATAATTCCTTAGAAGGAGGAGTCTTTCAATTAACCAATAACAGCACATGGCCCTTAGGTGATTCCAAATGATACCTTCACTGTTGAGCTGTATGGACTCGTTACACGTCCTCAGCAGACACACTAGCTGGGTCCTATGGAAACCAGATTGCTTTGTGATCGTCTGTCTGCATCTTGTTCCAAGTCGGTGCCCATGGGGACATGCAGAGCTGTGGCCTGAGATCAAAGGATGATGGATGCTCTCTGCATGCAATACTGCAGTAAATCCACAGGAAACCTAATTCACAGCAGTCCTGCTGAGATCACCAGAGGACAGCAGTCCTTGCTGGGGAATAGCCCACATGTTAATAGAAATTGCAATGCACCATGATTACACCCCATGGAAATGGAGACCAGGCTGCTTGAAAATACTTATTTACCACTCTCTGAAGATTAATACTGGAACAAAATTGGAAGATACAAGCAAGATGTATAATGCAGCAGCTGACACCACTGATCAAGGCCAGGCTGGATGTGGCTCTGGGCAGCCTGGTCTGATGGTTGGCGACCCTGCACATAGCAGGGGGTTGAAATTAGATGATCATTGTGGTCCTTTTCAACCCAGGCCATTCTGTGATTCTGTGATATGATTAAAAACATTTAATTCAGCTCATTTGCCCATTGCATGGTGTCACCAGGTGTGCCCCACGTGTGCACGCAGCCCATGGCTGCTGGTTGCCCATCACTGCAGTGGTAGCCAGATGCAGAGGAGAGCTGACAGCTACCAGAGATTTTCTGTGTGGCCTGAGGCAGTGACATTCCCTGCCTGGTATTATCAGAGTGCTGCATTCTCTCCCAGAAACAGGCCGGGGAGGATTTTCATCTCACAAAGCCTTCAGTTAATGCGTGCCCCTCTTTGGTTCCTGCAGTGGATTGTTTGTTTGGGAAGCTGCCTAGAAAGGTTGAGCTTGCAGCTGGTTTTCCCTTTCGCCTGCACCAAGCTATGCTGTAAGTTAAACCCAAGAGAGGGGACTGTCTTGATTTGCAGTTCCTGCGTATCACAGGTGTTTGCAGCCTGTGTCTATCGAGATGATGCTCGTGGTGAAGCACCAGCTGACTTTTCCAGGGTTGTGCTCTCCAAACCAGCCCTTGCTCCACGATCCCATGGATTGAGATGGGAGGTTTGGGCGCTGAGGCCGATGTCCCTTCTGTTTACATCTTGCAAAATGCAATCCCTATTTAATGAGCCGCGTGGTTTTTTATAGCGTCTTTTAGGAGCCTTTCAAGTTGAGTCATTAAATATATATTTTTAATAACCTCTGTATCTTGAAAGGACAGTGTGAAATGTAAGTACTGGAAATCAAGCAGCAATTCCCCTGACTTCTGAGTTAAATTATTTCATTACAAATTTATGTGAAGTTGAGACACGTTTTTTTTTTTTTCTCCTTGTGATTTTCAGATCTGCCTTTTATTTTGAGCTGACAAATGATTCTGATGTTGCACTTAGAAATTCCTTCCCATTTTAAATTTTAATAGTCTCCCACTGCTGAGGTATTTATTTCTTTAAAGATGGAACATCACAGATCTTCAAGGTGGGGAGGAGGGATCGGGTGCTTAGCTCAGGCCCTAAGCATCCATCTATTAACTCCTGTAAAGGGAGTTCAGAGAGAACTTTAAAGGCAGTCTCAGAAACTGAAATCCTCCTCCATCTGCTTAAGGGGGTGCCCCAAAACCTGCGGGCTGTGCTCTCCAGCCCTGACCCAGCTACAGGGGGACAGCCCTGAGCAGCAGTGGGGCAGGACAGGCTGTGGGGCAGCCATGGCCAGGGAAGGAGCCGGGTACATCAGCTGTAAGATGTGTGTAAGATGTGCTTTTTGTCCTCACAACAACTGCTCCACTTGACAGAAGTGCTGCCTCTGTTTGAAATGAACCTCTGAAGAGCATCTCTGTTAATTAACAGGTGCTTTGTCTGCTGGTTTAGCATTGGCAGAGAGCTTTCTGCGTGGCCTAGAGATGAAGTTACTCCTTGGAAGAATTCATGATCTGAGGGCTCAGCCCTGGAAAATACTTCAGGAGAGTTAAGCTTTACCAGTGAGATTCTCCCATGGTCAGCAGGTCCCATTCCGCTTGCAGGCACACAGTGTCTGCAAAGCACGGGGCAGCATGGACAGAAGCAAGGAGTGCACTGATAGCACAGGGAGGTTGGAGATGGGGAGTAAGATTTGTTGTAATGCTGGGGAGTTTTTATTAGCAACTGATATGGGAAGAATAATGCCTTTGGCTTTGCTGAGGTGTCTGTCAGACTCTTCCCAAGGCATCAGCAGTCACTTTGCAGAATGAAGTTAATCCTTTGCAGGGTGAAACCAATGGAAAAGATGGGAAGTGTTGATGAACGCAGGGGCGTTTGATCGGGTCGTACGAAAGATGAGATTTGGAACGCTTTTAATAACATTAGGAAGTAAACGGTAAACTATTCCAGAAGTATTCAGAAATACACATAGAGAAAATAAGTATTTCTCTGTACTTTCTGTCCAGTTTTTGGCTCACACATTGAGCTCATGTATTACGCTTTGCCCACCACGAGGCTGGGGAAGGAGAAGCAGTGCGTGGTTGAGATGGAAGCTGAGAGACATGGATTGCTCACCTCGCTGACACGCTGAGGGATGGTGTGTGCAGCTGATACCCACAGACACAGGCAGCTCTTGGACAGGAGAGGCAGAACTAGAAAGGTCCAGGGTAGAGCTCTGGTTGGATTGGTTTTCCCAAGTTGGTTTTAAATAAGGCCAAAACTTGTGGTTTTTCAGTTCTTGGCACTTGGGGTTCGTTCTGTTTGTTTGTTTGCAGCTCCATCGTAGAACATCAGGAGAAAACTCGTTTTCTAGAGCGGAAGAGAAATTACTCATCAGAAAAGCCTTCACACCATTATTTTTACATTAAAATCTATAATAAGCAGACACCCTCCCAGCGCCCGGCAGAAAACACTGCTATTCTGGGCACACTGAGCTTGGCATGGGCTCTGCTGCTGCTCTGTGGGGTGTGCAGCAGCTCCATAACCAGGCCTGCCACTGCCACTGCTGGGCCAGGGCACGTCCTGCACTGCTGCCAGCACACCAGGAGCAGCAGCTCTGTGCCTCATTGCCCGCAGAAAGCTCCACATTTTGTTGCTCTTTGCATATCAGGAGGAAGTTTTTCCCCCAGAGGTGGTGAGGCACTGGAACAGGTTGCCCAAGGAGGCTGTGGATGCCCCATCCCTGCAGGCATTCAAGGCCAGGCTGGATGTGGCTCTGGGCAGCCTGGGCTGCTGGTTGGCGACCTCACACAGCAGGGGGTTGGGACTGGATGAGCATCATGGGCCTTTGCAGCCCAGGCCATTCTATGATTCTGTGATTCTCTTTCCTCACGCTGTTATCTGCATACAACAGTAGTAGCAGCGGTCCTTGGCACCGTGGTCTCCCCCAGACCTCGCTGGGTGCTGTGCTGGGGGATAATTCACGCCCTCTCTGCCGCGAAGGTTTCCTAAACGCGGTGTTTCTTGAATGAGGCAGGTGGAGCAGAGATGGAGCGGGGCTGCAGGCACTGGAGGCGCAGGTCCCGGTGCCGGCCCCTCTGGCCGCTGTAGAGGCGATGCGGGGGACGGGCGGCTCTCCCGGGGCGCTGCTCGGAGCCGTACGGAGCGCGGTGCCCGCGGAGAGAACGGGGCGCGGAGCAACGGGGGCAGCCGGGGTCGCCTCGGGGGGGACCGCTTCTCCTCAGCACCGAGCCGGCTGAGGAGGCGGGGAGGGAGGAAAGCGCGGATCGCCCCGTTCTCTGCAGCTCTCCCCGCGCCGCCCGTTTCCCGGCGCCGCCGCCGCCCGGTTGCCGAGGCGCCGAGGGACGGCGGCGCTCCGGGGCGCTCCGCACGGCGGAGCGGCGCAGCCAATGGCGGCGCGGCGGCGGCCGCGCTCGACCAATGGCGGCGCGGCGGCCGCACCGCTCAGCCAATGGCGGCGCGGCGGCGCGGGGAGCGGGCCGCGGCGGGAGGCGGGCCGGGGGCTGCGGGGCGGCGCGGCGCCGGCGGGGGCACCTGCGGCGGTGGGCGCGGGAGGCGGCGCCGCGCGGCTGGGGCGTCCGCAGCGCTGAGAGGGCAGGCTCGGGCCCGCGCCGCACAGGCCTCCGCCCGCTCTCGGCCCCTCGCAGCCGCCGGTTCCGCACCCCGAGAGGCGCCCGGCGTCCGCGGAGCTCCATGTACGACAATTTGTACCTGCATGGATTTGAAGACTCGGAGGCGGTGAGTGCCGCGGGGCGCCGTTACGCAACGCGCCGCTGCCCTCCCGCCCGGGGCCGCCCCCCGTTCCCGGCCGGGCGGCGGCGGCGCGGGGTTCCGGGCGCGGGGCGGCCGCGTTACATAAGGCGCGGCGGCCGCATCGCCGAGCGGCGGATCGCGGCACGGAGCGGGGGGTGCGTCAGTGCGGGCGTGCGCGGCGCGCGGGCTCTGCGGAGAGCGGCTCGGTCCGTGCCGGTGCGGGGCTTGCGGCGTGCCGGGCTGCCCGCGTCCCTTCCAGCTGCGCCGCTCCGGGGCCGTTCGGAAGCGGGTTGGGGTGCGCGGCTGTCGCCCTCGCGGCTGGCCGCCGTCGCGCTGCGTTTGCTTCAGAGCCGTGCCGAGCGCCTGCTGGTTCCTTCAGAGCCACGTCTGGGACCCCGCGGGGTGTTTCTGCGCGCAGAAAGCAAAGCGGGCATCCCTGGGAGCTTCTCGCTGCACGTGCCGGTAAAACAGACCTTCCCAAAGCGCAGGTTTGCTCCTGAGAAGACTGAAGCGCGGCAGCCTGGCTGAGGGGTCTCGCTGCTGGGTGGTGCTGGCAGTAGGAGCGCTGCTTCGTCTGCAGAAGTCGGGTTTTACAGGTCTCCAAAGTGCACGGCTCCGGGCGCTCCCGAGGTGCCGGCCCGCGTGTGTCGCTGCCCCGCCTGCTCCTCATCCAGGTAAAGCCGTTTGTGTGAGGGCAGTGGAGCGGAGATGAGCGGCCGCACAGCCGCCCTGCGGGCTGCAGCACCGCTGGGATGGGGCTGTGGGCCTCTGGCTGCCTGCGGCCGCCGCTGGAAAGGAGAAGTGATTGCTGAGGTTTCTTTATGCTCTATTAATTAGCTGGTGGTGATGGTGTTGACGGCTCTTGTAACTTTACAGTCTCTTAGTATTTGAGAATGCTATCGGTAGACTGCTGGAATTGTGGGAATAGGGGAGAATTTCAGCTTTTGTGTAAGAATACGGCAGAGCAAACCCTGAAAACAGCACATAGCTGTGCAGAAAAGCCAGAGACCACAGTCCTCGGAGGCACACACACAGGCAGGTACCGTTCCCCAGGTGCTGCTTTGCTCTGTGCTCCCACACTGCTTACTTACAGTACTGTACCTTATTGTTTTTGGGGCTTCCGACTCGTGAATTGGGAATGCCAGCATGCTGGCAAACAGGTGGAGTGGTGAGGGACTGGAGCACTGCTTGCTAGCCAGAGAGAGCCCTTGTAATGGAATTAATACAGCGAAAACCAGATCAAGGGTAGAGTAGGGCTTCCCTGCGGTTAAGGGAAAATAACTCAGCGTGCAAAGAGGACAGAAGAGCTGTCAGTATTGTCTGGGCTTTGGGGCTGGAAGGCGCAGCTGCTGGACTGGGGGAGAACTCTTTGAAAGGGGAGATAACAGCAGGACAAGGGAAAATGGTTTGAATTTGAGGGAGGGAAGATTAGGCTGGATGTCAGGGGGAAGTTCTTTGCTATGAGAGTGGTGAGGTGCTGGAACAGCTGCCCAGAGAGGCTGTGGATGCCCCGTCCATCCTTGGAGGTGTTCAAGGCCAGGTTGGATGGGGCCCTGGGCAGCCTGGGCTGCTGTGAAATGTGGAGGTTGGTGGCCCTGCATGTGGCAGGGGGTTGGAGCTTTGTGATCCTTGAGGTCCCTTCCAACCCAACCATTCTGTGATTCTGTGAGATGGGAGCTGCTATCCTGGACTTGCTGTACTTTCATCCCCTGAAGCACAGGGAGGTGTGATCGAGTACTTGTGCTACTTGAAATACTTTTAGCACAAAATAAATCATACCAAGATGAGTCACTCTAGTACAGTTAGCGTCTTCCTAAAGTAGGTATCTGCCCTTAGGAAACTCATGCAGCAGTTTCCTATCGTGGTGGCCTCGTGTAAAAAAAACTCTTAGAGAACATTGCAAGAAATGTGAACTAACACAAGGATGTGGTGAGTTTTGTTGCTTTGCTGGCAGGCTGTATTCATAGTGTTCTCCAAAGTGGGGGCTGTGTTGTAGCTGGGGGGCACATAGGATCCCTTGGCCTTGGAGGGCAGCTGGCTGCGTGCTGGGGCTCTCCCAGACAGCCCTTCTTTCCTATTCAATCCAGGAGGAAAGATGGTGTTTTTCTAAGAGTGAACTGGTATTACGTCAGTGATGGTTTCTTTTTTTTTTTTTTTCCAGCTGAAGTTATTATTATGGTGTGTTTGTGTGTATATATGAAACGAATGCAAAAATACGTATTTATTTATATTACATTTAGAGAAAGAAATGGGTTCAGTGTGTGCATGGCTATTACAATCCATTACCAGCTGTGATGATTAATGCCAAGCAGATGATGCACTAGCTAGTGCGAGGCTTTTTGGAGGAGGAAAATTACACTGTTCAAGTTGGAAGAAATGCTGGTGGTTGTATGCAAGAAGCACTTGCCATGCTGAAGAACAGCAGAAAGAGGTGTAAACAACTTTCATAGCTGTGAGTACGCGTGCAATGAGCACAAGGTTCAGGCATCATCCTGACAGTTATGGCTTTGTTGCCCTGCCCTGTCTGATTTGGGGGATACTGGGGATTGGTTTTAGTGCTTCGGGTAGTTTTATTTAAACAAGGTCACTGTCTGGGGCTTGAAAACTTACTTGCCTTGTATGAAACAGGCATCTTACGTTCTTGATTATGGGAGAAGAGGGCACTAGAACACTGTTAGCACTGGTGCTTAGGACAGCGATGTCCACTGCATAAGAGAATCATGGTTTTACCCTCCCAGTTGAGAGCTAATCCCTGTGATGGTATTTATGGTGAGGAAAGATCCGCATGCTGCTTGCTGTGTTGGCACAGAACCTCCCAGCTGCAGCACGAACTCCATCTTCTTCAGAAACAAACTTTTAACAAAACTTTTCCATAAGAAACCACGTTTTCTGTAAAATCCTCATTTCCTCTAAGCAGCAGTTGTGGTGGTGGCTGCCAGCTCCACAGCGATGGGCTCAGCCAGTGCTGGCCTGCAGTGCTTGCTGCATGTGTGCATCTCTGCTTAGTAATGCCAGTTCCCCTTTCATGTTGTCATCTTCCATCATTTGGGACTGCACATAATTCAACTCACTCTGAGCTGTTTTTTTGTGCCTTGCTTTAACTGTATGCTTTTTCTCCAGTCCCTAAGCCTTGCATACAATCTGTATTATCTTTTTTTTTTTTTTTTTTTTTCCCCACTCCTCTTAGTCTTTAGTCTGCATCCAGCCTTGTTTTGCTTTCCCTTTGTCTCCTTTCTATCCCTGCAGGCTGCTGCCAGTGCCAGAGGGGCACTGGGGAAGCAGGGCGTCTCATTTACTGCTTTGTAAGCCAACAATGCACTTGCTTCACTCAAAGGTACTGTGCAAGTTCAAGCTCCATATCACAACAAATTAAATAAGCGTTTCAGTGGGATTTGTGCCCAGAAGCATTTCAGATTTTGGAAGTCCTTTGGTGTTAACAAGGCCTGGCCAGCTGTGATGCATCCCTGGTAGGCAGTCTTCAGAGGCTGCTGTTAAAAGTGCTCTGAGGGACTTGTATACAGAAGCCCATCATGGCAGGGTTGTTTCAGGGAGCTGGGAGACTGCATCTGGCAGTGCAGTGCATGGCGTGACAGGGTATAGCATCGTGGTCCCTCGTTACGTGTGTGCTAGGTGTGCATTGTATTCATAGTGCTGATGGCTTTCCATCATTGCATCTTGTTTGGAAGCTGTGCGTGGAGCCATCCTGTTGTATTGTGCACCAGTGGTGCACTTTCCTGCAAGTTGGGGGAGGGAAAGCTGTTGTTTGGTCCAGGAGCCAGAAAAGAGGCTGCTGAGACACAGGGCACTTACATAGCCTTTGTTCCACCATGCAGAAGCTTCTTGTGGCATCCATGTGAAAGCTGCCTGCAGTTCCTGCATGTGGATTTTGAGACAGTGCTGAGAGTCTTCAGGTCAGAAGTACAATACTGTGAGCTCCACTGCTGTTCTGAGTTCACACACATGCTGGTCAGTCACTTCTCTTGCTAGTGTAGGCTCTCTTTCATAGCAGTTGAGACCAGAAGATTTCTGAGTGCTGCTTAAGCAGAAGAACACAATTGTAGAAATGCAAACACTGGTTGCAAGTGGTGGTTGGGTCTCTGCGTGGTCCCTCTCTGGAGCAGAAGGAAGGCAGTCTTGTATTGCCCTGCGTGTCTCTTCCACTTCAGTAGGTTCAATATAAGAAATAAGAAAAACACATAGAGAGAAATATTTTTCATCCTTGCCTTGGGTGGTTACACTCCAGAACTCTTCCTGTTGGTGTAATTAAGGCTTAGGCTTTGCATGCTGTTTGCTTATAAACTGCCCTCCAGCACTGCTGTGTAGGGCTGCACAGAAACTCGACTCTTTCCATCCCAGAGCCAGTTAGCATGGGGAGTTCTGCAGCACCGAATTCTCATCTTATGGAACACCTCTGTGTGATGTGTAGCTGAGACCAGGCAGAAGGCTTTGTACAGCTGTCAAATAAAATTGGGGATTTCCAACAGGCTTAGAAGGGTTCTGGTGTTTGTGGGAGCATTGCTTCCATGGATCCCTTCTGAAATGTTCAAGCTGAAGGTAGCAAATTAGTAATCTAGATCTGCTGGTGGTGTCCTTCACGAGGGCTCATTTCATGGGGCAGCAGTGAAGGTTCTGTGGGGTCCCACAGGGCTTGAATTCCCATGCTGTTCTCCTCATGGGGGGATGGATGTGCAGGTGAACGTGCCTGTGCCAGTGGGGAGAACGGTGTTTGCAGTGCCATTCACTCATTGCTGGCACACGGTTCCTTGTTGAGCATAGCTGCTCTGTTTCTCCACCTGATTTAGGTGAGTTGTGTAATGCTGAGCCCAAAAAGGGTGAGTGATGTTAGGACATGGTCATTCCAGAATCACTTGCCTAGCTGCTACCTCCTCAGTGCTTCTGGTTTCAAGTGCACACTAAGGTCTGTCTTTGGTGAGAAGGTGTCAGATAACTTCTGTTCATGAGAGATCATCCTCTGTCTGTGACGCCTATTGAATTCTCATCAAGATTTGTCTTTTACGTGGTCGAAGTCGTTTCAAATCTGTTTCCAT